ACTTGAGAAAGATGAGGCCCCAAAAAGGTAAGTCTTGGGATAAGGTAAAACCTACTTTCTCCTTCTAGTCTAAGTATGGGACTAAATAGCCTGCACATACCCCTGCTTGCTCCACTAACACATGATTGATGGGCAGATTCACCCAGAATAAGGAGTCTCTTTAGGCATTACCATCAATGTCATCTCTATGCTTTGATTTTCAAGTATCTCTCTGGCTCTTTTGACAGCCATCATCTGCCTGATAGCCATCTTCAGCTCAAATATACTGACAGTATTTCAAACTTAAGACATCTAAATTTGAACTCCAAGTTCCTCCTCCAACTTTCACATCTACCTTCTAATTATTCAGGCTGAAAATGTTAGCAACATGTAGACTGCTAATTCTGGTGGATTGTAGCCCTGTATTATTTTTTAATTATTTCACTCTTACTACTACAATGTATCTAGGCCCTTTTTACCACTTGCAAACTCACTGTCTTCTTGGTCATAATGCTAGCTGCTGGGCTCTTACTATCTGTGTCAAAAAATTTCTAGAGCAAAGTTTTGATCACATCACCTCTCTGTCCAAAATACTTTAGTGTCTATTTCCTACTGAAATTAGGTATCAACTCTTCAGTTCAGCATTCCAAGAGTTTCATCAAATGACTTCAACTCATTTTTGGAGCCGTGTCTCCTTTATTCACACTATGAATTTTAGAAAATGGAATCAGATACATTTATTGTTGCTCATATATTCTTTCTGGTTGGTATGCTTCTTTTATTTCCACCTAATTCTTCAAAAAACACTTCAAATGCAGGATTTTTTTTGGGGGGGGGTAAAACTCTGTAATGTTCAGCTTAGATGAAACGCTTCTTTCCAATCGCTAGGGATAATTATTGGTGACTGACTTAGTTATAGTTACTTGGCTACTTGGCTTATTTGCATGTCAAGTTCTTTGAGGTCAAGAACTCCTAACTTATCTTAGTTTCACCAAAACATACTCTCACATAGCAGATTCTCAGCTAGATTTACTGAGTCAACGTTGCTTAAAAAAAAAAAAAAATTAGCTGTCCCTAAAGTAATGTAAGTACCATTTTTAAATCTCCAAGGAGAGATTTTGTTTTCTCCTTTTGCTAATTTCAATATGTGAAAAGGATTAGTCTAAATAAATCATACTGCTTTCAATTCCTGGAATCATAAAAGGGACACGTTTGGCTCAATTAAAAAAAAATCAGAAGAAAACAACCCTAACGATGGAATTAAAACAATGAGACCACATATTAAGATATAGTGTAAAGGCTGAATAGATATAATAAATCCATTTCCCCACAGTGAACAAAGAAGAAGGAATTCTACTAGCAAGGATTCAGAACCCTATTGTGAAGGAGATATAAAATTGTATTAATGTGGGGAATTCTAATCCCTTAGTAAATGAGGGATACTAAATACCCTTAAAGAAAAAAGTTAGAGATTTTCAAGATTCAGTTTCTTTAAAAATTTATTTATTCAGGGGCCTCCCTGGTGGCACAAGGGGTTAAGACGCAGCAATATGAAGCAATCCACAGCCACTGCAGCATGAATTCGATCCCCGGCCAGGGAGGTGACCCACATGGCACAGCAGACCCCTGACTCGTCACTGCTCCCCTCAGCAGTATATTTCATCTGCCTGTTCTGCTCCCCACTCTGTCTCTGGTGAATCCTCTCACAATCTGGCCTGTACCCCAGTTCTTGTATGAATAAATAAATCTTTAAAAAATCTTACTTGTTTATATTTACATCGTTGTTAATTTTTGTACAATGTTTGATTTCTCCGCTCAGGACAAAGATTCAGTTTTTCATAAAGAAGCTTATACTGTCTTGGAGGTGAGATTTCCTAATTACAAATACTGATGTAATGAGCTTTTAGTAAAAAATTTAATGTAATTCACTGTACTTTTACTCAGGTATTAAGTATGACCTTATTTCTTACCATGGCAATCACTATTTTTAACCATTTCTCTTCCCATCCTTTAAAAATCTATTCAAGGGCCTCCCCGGTGGCGCAGTGGTTGAGCGCTGGGTTGCGAAGCTGCCGGCAACCTCTGCAGCGCCGGTTCGATCCCCGGCTGCTCCCCGGCCACCTGAGGAGGGTCCCGCATGGCGCGCGGACCTCTCCTGCCGCCTGCTGCTCCCCTCAGCAGTGTGCTTTGGTCTTTCTGCCTGCTCTGCTCCCCGCTCTGGCTCTGGTGAATTCTCTCACCCTCCTGCGCTTCTGACTGTACCCAGTGCATGTATAAACAAAACAAACAAACAAACAAACAAACAAACAAATAAATAAATAAATAAAACATGCCTCTATTAAAAAAAAAATTAAAAAAAATTAAAAAAAAAATAAACAAAAATCTATTCAAAACAGGGCCTCCCCAGGGGAGCAGCGGTTGAGTGCTGAGTTGTAAAACTGCCCGCAGCCTCTGCAGCGCCAGTTCAATCCCTGGCGCTAGGCAAGGGTCCCACATGGCGTGCAGACCTCTCCTGCTGCCCACTGCTCCCCTCAGCAGTGTATTTCGTCAGTCTTACTGCTCTGCTCTTCCCTCTGGCTCTGGTGAATTCTCTCACCCTCCTGCGCTTCTGACTGTGCCCAGTGCTTGTATAAATAAATAGAAAAATCTTAAAAAAAAAAACAAAACTATTCAAAACAAGTAGCATTGATTATGACTTTACTAAAGCTGAAAAGACAAAGAAAACTATAGAAAATACATATTTTAGTTTTAAAATATTCTTGATATCTGAGTAGGCAGATATGTTGATTTTAACTTCACTGATCACTTAAATTTCTTCCTTTCCATACCTTTTCTATTTTTTTTTTCTTTTTAAGGAAAAGCCAAGGTCTTGAGAAGGTCAAGAACCCAGGTTTCCCTGGTAATTCTGAAAACAGCAATTAATGGACAATATTTTCAAAGCCTCCCTATTGAGATGAAGCAGAGTCAGTCATCTCAATTTCCAGGAACTCTTCCCAGAGACCAGTAGGTTTCTGACTTTCCTATTTGAATGCATTTTGCAATATAAAGTGACATAACTTCATTATAGAATAGTCTGGAGATACATCACACACTATACTATCTCTTCTACACTACTTTTATTAATATTTTGGCATTTCTTCCCACTGATTTTCTCTTCCCTTGAAATCATGAGGCATTTATCATTTTGCATTCTGATTTCTTCACTATATAAACCATAACATCTTCATGTAGCTACATGTCTTCCAAGTATTATTTTAAGAGGCTACACAATATTCCACTAAATAAATGCATTACAAATCATATTTATTATAATCCAGTTTATACCATAAAGGGTTTGAGCTGGATCCGTATAACCATTCCCTTGTAACTGAGTAGGTAGATCATTTCTAAAACTTTGCTACAAACGACACTGCAACAGTTTCAAGAATATAACAATCTATATCTTGGGTTATTTTATGATGACTGATTATAAGATTATTATATCAGAGAAGACAGTAACTCTATCAAATTACCTTCTAGAGAATTTGTGACATTTGCAAAGTCAAGAGCAATGTATAAAAGTATCAGTTTAACTGTACTCAACTATACTTTTAAAAGGGAAGTGGGAGAAAACAACTGCAGAAATCAACAGTATTCTATTGTCAAATTAGAAGTCAAATTATAATCCTTAACCAACTACTTTGATTAAAAAGTATTTCCTACGTACCCAAAAAGTGTCCATACTTGGCTAAACACCATCTTTTTACCTATCCTTTAATACACAGTTTTCCTTCCTTTTTACAGATTTTTTTCTTACCTACCAAGCTATACATGTTGCCAAGAATATGGTTTATTGGTGTGTCTATCTATACCTGTTCAGTGTGAAGATGTACTTCTATATATTATTTTTAACATATGCTCTTCAACCCTTTCATCTGTGAGATGATAGATGTATTTTTGCATTTAACTGTAAAAATGACTGTGAACACAAAAGTGAGGTCCAGGTAAGGCAGAACAAACTCATTTGATAAGTGATGATAGTTATGTGTATGTGTACCTATGTATGTGTGCAGATATAAACTTGTTTATGTATAAATACATTTACTAAAATCCTCATTTTTCTCTTAGTAATACATGTGATATAGAGATAAAAAATCACTGTCATATTAACTTCTCAGTTACACTTTCCTTAAATGTTGGCAGATCTGCCAATATTTTTTTATTTTTAAAGATTATTTATTTATACAAGCATTGGGTACAGTCAGAAGTGCGGGAGGGTGAGAGAATTCACCAGAGCCAGAGCAGGGAGCAGAACAGGCAGGTAGACTGCTGAGGGGAACACCGGGCAGCAGGAGAGGTCTGCACGCCATGTGGGACCCTCACCCAGCGGCCGGGGATCGAACCGGCACTGCAGAGGCTGTGGGCAGCTTTGCAACCCAGCGCTCAACCGCTGCGCCACCGGGGAAGTCCCCAATATTTTTCTTGTGTGTGTTTATCTCCTGTGTCTTTAGGTTGAGATATGTCTCTCATTCAGATCACTAGTTCCCCAAACAATGAACACTAAAGGATGGATGACTCTTCTGGAGTGACCTAAAGCAATGCTGAGTCATCACTGCAGGTCCAGTGCAGATCTTAAGCTAGCTCTAGAACCTGGGTTCAGGGACAAAGGTGGGGTAGGAATGCCAGTTCATGTCTAGGTCAGTTAGAAGTCCAAATTCCCCATCCTTCTTAACTAGCAAGGAAAAACATCATTGGCAAGAGCTCCACACTCAACTACAGATGATACCCAAAGAGGGCAACCCTGCATATCATCAGTCAATAGATTGTAATAGGCCCAGATTCTCTAGAGTGAATGTTTCATGCAAGGCACCTAATCATATCTCAGAGCTGTTACACAGTCCTGAGAGGTAGCCCACCACATCAGTGAGAAACAGCAAGCCTTTTGTCTTTAAAGTAGTCTTAAACAAAAGAAGCTGAAGAATTTGGGCTGTAGTATTAGCCATGAAAATGGGGAATGTCTGAAACAAGAGTCCCACACATACCTGATTTCTTAAAGGCTGTTGTTGTGATGGCCGATCCCTGTGTGTGTGGCTGTCTCGAGTTATTGCCGATGCACCAGAATCTACATGAACTGACCCTACTGGAGTAGGCTGGAAAAATATGACAGTAAGTCAAAGAGGGAAAACAGGTCCAAGTCAATGCCTCTGCAAATGACAGTATTATTCTAATTCTGTTGTAATAATTATTCTTTTCGGCCCCCAAGAGCAGTGTCAAGCCCTCCTATCTTCTCAGTTTGCATATCTGTAAAAGGGAGGTAGTTAGCCCTCAAAAGTTCATTCTAGAGTAGCTTATCTTTGGGGGGGGGGGATGAAAACAACTGTCCTGCGGTAGTGTCTCTTAATATTAACTCAGGCCCCATAGAACCCAGACCAGAAGAGCAAATTTGGAAATTTTTTAATGTGCCAGGTTCCACCCCTGCTGACGCGAAGCACCCTAACAGATTATGTAGGATTCTGGTATTTTAGGACATACTGGTGCTACTCTTATTTTTTTTTTAATGATTTATTTATTTATGCATACAAGAGCTGGGGTTAAGGTCAGAGACGTGGGGGGGTGAGAGGATTCACCAGAGACAGAGTGGGGAAGAGAACAGGCAGACGGACTGAAATACACTGCTGAGGGGAGCAGCAGGCGAAATAGGAGAGGTCTGCTGCACCATGTGGTTGCTCCTTGGCCGGCCGGGGATTGAACTTGTGCTGCAGAGGCTGCGGACAGCTTCATAGTGTGGTGCTTAACCCCTTGCACCACCAGGGAGGCCCATACTGGTGATAATCTTAAGAACATATAAAGGGCCTCCCTGGTGGGGCAGAGAGTTGAGTGCAGCGCTATGAAGCTGTCCGCAGCCTCTGCAGTACCAGTTCCATTCCCTGCCGGCGGAGGAGAAACCCACATGGCGCACAGACCTCTCCTGTCTTGCCTGCTGCTCCCCTCAGCAGTGTCTTCTGTCTGTCTGTCTGTTCTGCCTCAAGCTCTGCCTCTGGTAAATTCTCTCACCCTCCTGCGCCTCTGGCCTATACCCCAGTTCTTGTATAAATAAATAAATCTTTTTTTACAAAAAGCTATTTCTATTCCTTAAATATATATATATATATATATATATAAAGAACTTATTTCTACTTGCTTTTGCTAGTAAAAGCATCCTATGGCATCACCCTGAAAAGGCAGGTAAATGTAAAGTCTACAGTCAAAGGAATTATTTCTTCAAAGACTTAAGCAGAAAGTCTGGCAAATCCAAAGGGGTGGAGCAATGCTGGACTGACATGAGGAGGTAATAGAGGATACTTACAATAGGCCTCCCGACCCAATCATAGGCGTAGTCAAAAGTGTAGCCTTTCCTTTCAAAGAGGTCTGTGAAAAGGGTCCGTAAATACTCATAGTCAGGTTTTTCAAAGAAGTCTAATCGCCTGACATATCGCAGGTAGGTTGCCATCTCCTCTGTTAAGAGACAGGTGAAAGATCATCTCATTGGCTGAAACCTTCCATGGGGAGAAGCTATGGGTCAAGCAACAAATATCTGTGCAAACTATCTGACACTACTATTTTCTTTGTGGACCAAACGAATTGATAAAACCTATCTTGGTCTAAATAACAATAACAGGAAATATAAATCCGAGGGAGAATGGTCTTATCTAGAGCTACAGATCATGGTTTCCACCTGCTTGAAAGTTTTAGTTACAATGGCTATGTCTTTTTAGTATCCTACCTGGAAAGTTTTCACAGAGAGCTTCAATGGGGGTATTCCTTTTGGTGTCACCAATCTTTTGATATCTCTCTTTCAATGTATCAGCCTGTAGAGAGTAAAGAGAGAAAGTTATTTGGAAAGAGGTGGTAAATATGGGAGGTCCAATATATTTGGGGATGTAATGGTTGTTTCACTCAAACTGGCAGGGTTTGTTAGCCTTAATTTTTTTCTCTCTACCACTAACAAATAAGAAATACAGTAGGGATGATGTATTTAGATATGTATAAACATCTGCTCTATTTTGGAACACTTCACTTGCAAATATATTCAGTAGCGTCAGACAAATACCAACAAATATAGTGAGATGAATAACTAGGATAAGAAAATAAAAATATGGCCTCCCCGGTGGTGCAGCGGTTGAGTGCTGGGTTGCGAGGCTGCCCACAGCCTCTGTAGCACCGGTTCGATCCCCGGCTGCTCCCCGGCCACCAGAGGAGGGTCCCACATGGCGCGCAGACCTCTCCTGCCGCCCGCTGCTCCCCTCAGCAGTGTACTTCGGTCCTTCTGCCTGCTCTGCTCCCTGCTCTGGCTCTGGTGAATTCTCTCACCCTCCCGCGCTTCTGACTGTACCCAGTGCTTGTATAAATAAATAAAAATAAATCTTTAAAAAACAAAAAAGAAACTAAAAATATTATGTAGCAATATTTTCGGAATGCAGCAGCTCAGTATTCTCTTAGTAACCTTATGGTCACTGGGGTTCAGTAGTGATTCAGCCTTTCTCTTCTTAGATCAGATCTATAAGATTAAAAATATTGCTAATCCAAGTGGGGCAGATCGGTGGTTGCACTACATATTGAGAAGCTGAATTGAAAATATAACAAGATATGGAAAACAGTGCCTTTTCACAATGTACTTTTAGAGGGGGAAAGTGTTATTTTTGATAGGGAATGGCTAAGAGGTTTGACATATGTCAAAGGCTCAAAGCAGCCAAGTCTGGTACGCTCAAGGCTGTAGAGAAGGCTCCGGGACTCTGGACCAACAGTGTTCTCTAGGGATTCTCGTGAGGCTCTAGTCTGCTGCACCCAATTTTAAGCAATAGTGTTTTAAAGCTGAAGAAACTTTACATCTACAACTACCACTAAAATAATTTATGGACCATGAGAAAGTTTGGCAGTAACACAGAAAAGCATTATTTAGCTATATAATGGGACAAATAAGAGGTGACTATGACAGCTGTCAATATCAATAAGAACATAAATTTGATTAGGAAAAGACCATGGAGATAGTAGAAGAACTAAAGAGGTAAGAAAAAATACCTTCCCCAAAGGAAGGGGTAAAAAGAAGCCTTACTTTTCAGAATAATGTCCTAGAAAGCACAGCAAAATGAATCATTCTGCCCTTATGGAGGGAGGGAGGGAGGGGGTGTAGGAGTACCCAAAGCTACTGATTAATCTTCTTTCCATATTAACATGTTGAAATAAATTACAAGTAAAAAAATATGTCTCACATTTAACTATCTAATGGGACTTAGAATGGATTAGAAGTGCACCATTTCCTAACCTAACAGCTAGAGGCACAAAATAATTACAACACTTATAATTAAAAGTTAAACTTTGACACAAATGCACTATACTGACACCTACCTAAGGGAAGCTATTTAAATTACATGTTTCACAAGGAGTGGCTATTGTCTGCACAGGTATTTATTCAATAAAACACTTGAACAGAGAAGCTAAGCCTGAATTTTCATTTTAGTTCAGGTGGGCTCTAGCCTACTTAGAATGAACACATATTTTCCAGTTCCCCTTAGGGACACACCCAGCCCTGCTGGCCTTGCTGTTAAAATGTGTAGCAGCTGCTGTCATCAATTTGTTCCACAAATTCCCAACACATTGGGAACAGTCTTCCTGCTACATAATGGCAATGGAGGAAAAATACTGACACACAGAGAAAAGCAACACTGCCAAGGCTGGGAGGCATGAGAGAAGAGACAAAAAACCAAAAAACCAGAAAGAAGGATTAATAGAAAAAGCCCAAGTGAGCATTTACGGGAGAGACTACTGTAACTAGTCCCACTTCTCATCTCTGTAGCCTATTTTCCCCTTTTTGCTTCTTACAGACTTCAAGCCAGCATCCCTTTCATTAACAACTGAGTGTTGAAACAAAGCCCTCCACTGAGCACTTTCAAGGATACCTTGAGTCCTTGCCAGGGTAGGCTGCCTCGAAGAAAATACATGAACATATGGCCTAGGGCTTCCAAATCATCCCGCCGGCTTTGCTCTAAAAGGGAAGACAGATCACACATTATGTTTGCAGTTATTAAAGCAGAGAGGGGTTCAAAACCAAGTAATCCCTTCAGAAACCCTTTTGCTCTGGAAAGGCTCTACTTACTAATTCTGGTATATCTAAACCAGAGATAGTATTTTAAATAAAAATGAAAAACAATGTGTATTTCCTTTGCTTAGGTCTGTCACTAGCAGTACATTTCAAGTGAAAAGAGTGACTCCTAAACTAAAACCAAGTCCAAATCACTAAACAGTAAGTAATTACCTCCACTCAATGCTGCTACTTCCCTGAAAGTAAAATAATTTAAATGAAATGTTATTTCCAGCATACGGGCTACAATTACTCTTTGGTTACCATTAGGAAAAGTGAGAAGCAGATTAAGTAGCTGATTAATATAATCCATCATGGTTAACCTTGCAAAGACCCAAGCTGAAGAATGCCTAGCATTTTGTATTCATCAGAAAAATTAACACTTAAAAGTTAGTTTTATAGAAGCAAACATCAATGCAAACTTTCTTGGTTCCATTCCGTTTGTACCATGTTCCATAGTCACCTAAAGAAAAAAGTTTAATTTATTATTAAGGTGCCCTTTATAGGCACATTAGCAGGATTCCTGTATTCTGGGAGCTTATTAAGTAAAACCAGTTGCTGTTTTTTTCCTTCTTTTAATTGGGAAGCTGAAAATGATTAAGAACTGTTAAGAACTGTTACTGCATCTCAGAAAACATCCTATATATTCTTTGGTTGTCAGACTGAATATAACGAGTACATGCCTTTATCTATAACTTGCCAATTATGGTTCACCTCATTTTATATATTTTTCAGATTCAAGTTTAGGGCTTTTTCAAAAGAAATTACAGAATAGTGATCAAGCAGTTACCTTAAACTTTACTATGTTTTCTTTGTGCAGAAAATAAAACCTAAGAGAGTCAAAGAGGCAGGGAAATGTCATCCAACTAACTCAATATACAAAAAGCACAAGTTTAACTATTGCTTCCAATTATGAGAAATTTGCATGAAAAAGAATGAATCTATAGGGTAGATGAAGAAAGAAAAAGCAATTTTCTAAATTGCAGTTTGAAGGAGTTTTTTGAAAGGTCATCATGAATAGGAAGGGAAGGCATCCTGACAAGAGATAAAATGATACAGAATAGAAGAATGCACATCAATTGAAATAAATCTTATAGGAATGAAATAAAACAACATCATCAGAAGCTTTTTTGCTACATGGTTTGCTTTAAGTTTGCAATAAATTTCATATCTACTTGAAAATAAAAGCCATTAGACAACAACAGTTTGTTAAGAGAACCTAAAGATGCAAAAATAAAAAAAGAACAAACAAACAGGGTGAGCTGAGGTCTCCCAAAAATCAAGGCATAAAGAGAAACCACATCCATTAGTTTCTCACACTGGATCACACCTATTCATGGCCTCTCCATTTTTATATCCACTTCCTGTAACAAGAGGCCCCTTGGTAATAAAAAATTTTGGACATAGGGGGTGGGGGCGGGGAAAGGAGGAATTGGGGTCAAAATAAGGGGGTTGTAATTGTATGGGGAATATAAAAATAAATTTTAAATTAAAAAATGTAAATTAAAAAAAAAACTTGGGCAAATGGTTGCACTTTAGTTGGCTGTGCACTAGAGGGCAAAACTCTCCATATTTTCAGTACTGATTAAGCCTACAGAAAAAAGTCCCAACTTTTCAGTATAAACAAGAACTAATTCTCTTCAGAGGAATGCGCCATCATAAAATGAGATCATTTAAAAAATGAAAAAACAAAAGAAATAAACACATTCACACCCCACTGGAATAAATAACTGCAAACACCAGAGGCCATGAAAAACAGCTGTGGAATATAGAATAACCGGAGAAACCATAATTCCTGAGGTCTTGGCTCATCTTTTCATTAATCCATATGAAATTAAGCATGGCCAAATGCCCTAGTTTGGCCCTCAGTTTCCCAATCTGAAAATAAAGTAGTTGATTTAGATAATCTGGGAAGTCATTTTACAGATCTAAAGTGTTAAAATAATCTATGATAACGTTAGTCATTAAGGCCTTTCAAGAAAAAAAAATAAGAATGAAAACCAGAGCCAGGCTTTATTTTCACATTTCTCAGAACACACCAAACTTGCTCAGTTCACATTCCCACATACCCTCATTTTTTCATGCAGGATATTTTCATTTCAAAAGGAGAAATGCTTCCACACCAGTGATACTAGAAAAACACAAATTCTTCAATACCAAAAAAGTTTACTTTCAACCAATCAGAAAGATGTGCATGGTTTACATGAAGCACATTCTTTTTTTTTTTTTTAAAGATTTGTTTATTTATGCATACAAGAGCTGGGCACAGGCCAGAGATGCAAGCAGTGAAAGGATTCACCAGAGACAGAACAGCGAGCAGAACAGGTGGATCTACTGAAATACACTGCTGCAGGGAGCAGCAGGAGAGACAGGCGAGGTCTGCTGTGCCATGTGGGTCACCTTCCTGGCCGGGGATCAAACTCATGATGTAGTGGCTGCGGATAGCTTCACAGTGCTGCGTCTTAACCCCTGGTGCCACCAGGGAGGCCCATGAACCCATGAAGCATATTCTTGATTTTATTTAGGATGAATATATTTTATTGAAGAAAAGGGGCAAAGTGACCCAGTGTTCTCATCCTATTTTTGGTTGTTAGCGTGAGTATAGTAAATAATACAAAATGGGCTGTTGTAATCAGAGTTTAATCAATGGAAGGGTGGCTGATATGGTAATGTCAGGTTTAGGAGGCTTCATCCCTTGTTCTCCTCCCTCACAAAATTAACAGGTAATTCTCTCCAAGTCATTGAAGATACACTTCCCAGTCTTCTTTCATTTCAATGTAAAGGTTGCTACATATTTAAAAATCAATAGGATTAGAATTTCCATGGAAACCTCTCTGCTTTGAGTCCTGGGCCAGAGTATAAAGAGTATGTGACAGCCACTTATATGTATTCATTATAATGTGGAAATGACAAAATAAGGCGATATGTTGGAACAGATCTGAAAAACTCTAGAATTCAGTAAGTTCAAGTCTGGAGACAATCTCAAAGTTTCAGCAAGAAAGACTATATGACAAAAGATAAAAGAACCCAGTATGATGACAGAGATATTTAAAATGTTTCGTTGACTAAAAAAATTACAACTACGATTACAGAATCTGTACTGTTATCAAGCACTATGATGAATACTTTATATATATATCGGCTCATAAAATCCTTTTACCTTATAAGGTATTGTCACCAATCACACCCATTTTATAGTTAACAGGTCAGGGGAGGAAGATTATTGCACCAAAATCACAGTTACTAAGTAAGAGTCAGGATTTCCATCCTTTTTCTTAACCAATATACTGTATCTTACACAAACATAACATGGATACTCATCCCTTGTCTGTTCTTGCCTTTCTTAACAATAATAAAATCAGAATACGAATTGCTGAGCCCTGGAACAACTTCCAGAGTTTGTTAGCTAAACCAAACAACCATCATTTTACTAGTTATGGCACAATCTATCTCCTTGTAAAAAGGAAATGACACAGGAATAGTGAGCACAATGTAAGGGAGCTTATTACATATATTACCCATTAATCCTCAAAATATCCTTGTGAATTATTCTTCTTGTTTTAAAGATAAATTCCAAGGAGATCAAGTAAGTTGTCCAAAGTGACAATAAGAAGTGTCAGGGGACGTTCTAGTTTAATTTTAAAATGCTATATTTACTTAATGAGAACTCCATGTAATTGCCAAAAAACCCTGACAGCATTAATGATTTCAACTCAAGTTCTATCAACTACTTTGTAATGTCATTTTTACTCTTCACTGGTACTAGAACCCTCATTTAAATACCTAAGCAGCTTACTCAGTGAGGCAACTGTTTAGATATCTGCATTAGTCTGTAAAAGACTTGTTAGTGCACAAAATTTCATTAATACGACTGTCCCAGCTGAGGGTTCCCCTTGTGCTTCCTGGCCAAGATTTCAACACACCTCACAAAATGCAATCTTAAATAGAACACTCCATGGAAACAATTATGTTCACATTTCAAAAATTTGCTGAAAATAAAGGTTATTGAACAGTAGAGGATCTGACAGAGTACTCATGGAAAAGAAGTTCCCTGGACTTTTGGAAAATCACAAAGACCCTCTGGCTGTGGAAAAGTAGGTGTCCAGAGCTGATTGTTGGGCTCACACTGCCTACAATGACTATTTGGTAGTTCAAGTAAAGCCCTCTGCCTTGATTAGAGTTTTTAATCAATACATGTACAAAGTGTCTCTCCTGAATAAAATGTAAGACTCATGGGAAGCAAATATATTTTCACTGAGTAAGACACATGTTGTGCCGTGAAGAAATACTCACAGAATTATGCACAGTGAACAGCAGCCTAGACCACATCTTAGTAAACTATTCTTCCACAGAGCAGATACCAGCCATATGTCCTTTTCAGGACTGACATTTTTTGGATGGTGTCTATGTAAATGCCAGGACTGACATTTTTTGGATGGTGTCTATGTAAATGCCAAACTCATTACCAAACTTACTAGAATGCTATTGACTTAATACAACAATGAAGTACCCACACTGCAGAGAAACTAAGTTTCTGGAAGTAAAATGTAAAGAATTAAAAATCTTTAAGTTGTCAATAGGATGCTAAGGACAGGCACTAACTTACCATCTTAACTTCTCAAGTATAAAAATCATTTACCGTGTAAAGCAGTGAGAACCACAAGTTGTAATGCACAATGGGGACAAAAAAGTTATTGGAATAAAGAGTTGTTTTAACAACCTGCACCTTTTGTGAGCAGAAAATAAACACACCTTTGCCAAGATGAGTGTTGATAGACATATATCTTGCAGTTCCAGTTAAGCTTTTATGCTCCCTATAAGGTATGTGTTTTTTGGTTTCAGGGTCAATATATTCCTTGGCCAGACCAAAGTCTATTATGTGTATAACATGTTCTTTCTTATTGCCTTGTCTGCCAATCAGGAAGTTCTCTGGCTTGACATCTCGGTAGATAAGATTCTTTGAGTGCACATATTCCATTCGAGAAAGCTGAAAGAGAAAAAAAAAAACACACACACACAATGGAAATACTCTAAGGAACTATACTGGAAAATAAAACATTTTCTTTTATTAGCCCAGGTTTTTATTACTGACATAAAAAAATGAAACTAATTTCTTCTTTACCACCCAAAGTCATTTTACTCTTGCAAACCAGAAAATATGTTCTGATACAAATACATATGTAACATCAAGATAAAAGGAAGCTGGATGGGACAGTTCAGGTAGAAAGCTAGTTTATCTCTTGTCACAATTCACAAATGAACAGAATTAGTTGCTTTTATGGTCCTTTAGAAGGTAACCATTTGAGAGGCAAGAAGCATTCCCAGATAGGATATCAGAATGTGTGGATGGCCTTGGAAGATAGATGCTACCTTCAAGTCTGACAGGACTCCCTAGAGCCCAGCTCTCTTTGTTGCAGAAATAAGGGAAGAGAGGCCCAGAGAAATGGACAAATATCATGCAGCTAGTTAGTAACAGAGGTAGAAGTACAGTGTTTATACTCAAAGTAAATAAAGCACCAAATAGTAATCATACAATTATTTCAAATTTCATTTCTATCAACAAAGTTTTTCTACTTAGTATAGAAAGGAAAGCTCAGACATGAATTTTGTACTGAAAGGTCATGGTCAATTTTCTAACATTTCCAAGTTTTTACTAGACAGTAGGTAAAACCATTTATGATTTCAAATCAATAAAGATGCAAGTGCATCTTGCCTCTGAGGGGTTGACAAACTTCTCAAAGGAACTGTCATAACTACTCCTTAAGCTGGCAATGGTATGTAATTTGACAGTATCTGAGAGAACAGTTTCTTCAGCTGTGTCCATCTCTGTGAGAACTGGAAGCCAGAGAATTAAGGTAAGTTAGTTCTTGGTCACACAACTTGGGAATCTGAGTGTTAGGGCAATGGGTGTCACCTCTGATCTTTTCTTGGATCTAAGAGCGAGGGAAGTGGGAGGTTTATGATGAAAGCTTACAGCAAGTACTTAAAACTTACAAATAAAACATCAAAAAGTACTTGTATAATTTTACCTAATCATCCTCTTTCTCCTAATCTAAATCATATACTTCCACTTCAGTTGAGGACAGGGTATTGCTTGAAGGTACACATTTTTTAAATAGAGCAAACAATAGATGCAGTGTGACTTCTCTGGAATAACCCTTTTTATTTCAGTCAGCTTCCTAGAATGCCATCAAGTCTGTAAATATGAATTCACTAGGTGTCATTACAGCTGGTAAATCGCCAAACAGTACACAAGAACGTCCCTAGCGGACCCATCTATCCTTGTGCATAATGGCAATGCCAACTTACCAACTGGATGGCTATCATTAACACAGTCTTCAAAGTAAAAGTTCGGTCACAAAGGTCAAACAAGTCTTCCAAGCTAGGACCTAGGAGTTCCAGCACCATGGCATTGTATTTCCCACATGGTCCAAAGTAATACACCTGTGGGAGACCTTCACCTGAAAGTAGAAAGGAAATGGGATACAGAGTGGGTGACACAAAAACCAAAATGTGAGACAGCTGTACCAACACTAAGTAGATATTAAAAAAGTATAACTTATGAGATTTCTATTTTCTTTCATAATCCCTACTAAAGAACTTAAATTGAACGCTACAATTTTGAAGGGAACAAATAACGGGTGGGAAAGGCTAAATCATTGCTGTGTTCAAATAAGAGTTAATGTCAGAGTGCCATACGCCCTTCCACTGCTATGTAAGACAGAGAATGGCTCCTGATCCACTGGTGGATCAGAGTAGACTATTTCTCCTCCAAGGATGCTCAAAAGTGCCCTGTCACAAAAGGTTCAAAGGATGGCTCACTAAGGTCAAAGGCAAGGCTAATAGCACTTGTTGCATTAGCTGGTTTCATTAGCACGCCCTCTGCTTACTGCCACATGAGTTCTTTGCAACTGCTGCCCAAGGAAAACAGACTGAAGGGTTCAGGTCAAGGGGTGCAACCTGGCCCTTCTCGTGGGGAGTCTGTTTTCTATCAGCAGGAGCAAAGTCAAAAGATAGGGCTCGAGGGCCTCCACAGTGGCGCAGTGGTTGAGCGCTGGGTTGCGAAGCTGCCTGCAGTCTCTGCAGCACCAGTTGGATCCCCGGCTGCCGGGTGAGGGTCCCACATGGCGCGCAGACCTCTCCTGCCTCCCGCTGCTCCCCTCAGCAGTGTATTTCGTCAGTCTGCCTGTTCTGCTCCCTGCTCTGGCTCTGGTGAATTCTCTTGCCCTCCGCACTTCTGACTGTACCCAGTGCTTGCATACATAAATAAATAAATCTTTAAAAAAAAAAAAAAAGACAGGGCTTGCTTGATTATTGATATGTAATTATGAAAGGAAAAACGAAGGGAGCGAGGAATCACAGGTTAGATTTTCCCTAGGTCTGAAATTCATAGCTATAAGAAGCCAAAATGTAGACTTTCTTATCTAAATGGTAATTTACGAATGAATTTCCTCAAAGTGTATTGTAAATATGAGGCATTTAGTAAATATACATTTAATGGCACCATGTAAACAGTAGGTACAAATGAGACTACAGAATATTTTAAAAATCTGGTCTCATAGAGCAGAAACACTTCCACTTTATATATTTATGTATACTGTGGTCTACAGTTGTATATGCTGTAGATTACTCCTTGCTACTGCTTTCAATTTTTTTAGATATCAAAATTCACTCTACCTTCCCACTCTCTTTTCATGTACAGGTAGAATAAAGAGAAAGATAATTTATATCTGTTATGATTTGAATATTGTGTTCCCCCAAAATTCATATGCTTAAAACCAAATGCCCAGGTGCTGATATAAGGAGTGGGGTCTTAGGATGGTAATTAGGTCATGAGGGCAGAGCCCTTATGAATAGGACTAGTGCCCTTATAGAAGAGACCCTGTAGTTTTCTGTAGTCCCCTTCACCATGTAAGGACCTAGCAGGAAGTCAGGTGCCTGCAATCCCGGAGACGGCCTTCATGGAATAAAACCATTGTGACACCTCAGACTTCTAGCCTCTGGAGCTGAGAGAAATAAATTTGTGTTGTTTATAAGTCACACCAGCCTGTGACATTTTGTTAGAGCAGTCCAAATGAAAAAAAAAAAAAAAATCTAGTACTTGAAACTCTAACATTGTGCCCATTCTGCTCTCTAGGGTAGGTCTCTCTAGAATTGGTATGATTCATTATTATAACATGTCTTTAATTATTTCATGTACTGTATCGGTTTATCTTGTTCCATTTATTTATTTATTTAAAAGATTTGTTTGTTTTTATACAAGAGCTGGGGTACAGGCCAGACATGCAGGAGGGTGAGAGGATTCACCAGAGACACAGTGGGGAACAGAACAGGCAGATGGACTGAAAGCACTGCTGAGGGGAGCAGCGGGTGAGACAGGAGAAGTCTGCCTCGCCATGTGGGATTCTCCCTGGCCGGCCGGGAATCAAACCGGCGCTGTGGAGGCTGCAGACAGCTTCACAGTGCTGCGCTCAACCCACTGTGCCACTGGGGAGGCCCTATCTTGTTCCATTTAGATGCTAAACAACTTGTATGTTTTAATATGTTCATTCCTAGCTCATATTATCTAATATAGTACACTTTGCTTCTGCTAGTTCAATAAATTTCGTTCAATTGTCCTTGTGGTTGTTTTGATTCTCCCCATCTCCAAGAGGAAACAGGATTTAATTTGAAGTGTCTTTTCCCCTTGTTGTTGTGAAAAACTCATTCAGTTTATTTAAAATATACAAAACCTAAAAGCTGTTCCCAATGAACTCTTCTGAGAAATCCAAAGCAGAATACTAACAGAGATTTAGTCCTGTTCTTAATCAGACACATAGTAGAAGTATACTGAGAATCATTTTAAATTTATAACCTATGCAATACTTTTTGATGTCACTAAAAGTTAACTTTCCTAATATAAATATCATATTCTTCAAAACAGGTTACAAGAGATCTGTTAGCTGCCTGCCCAATTGTCATTTCATCCTTCTTTCGTAATAACTTCAACCTGCTCTGTTATAACTTTATAACAGAAAGTTATAACTCTGTTATAACTTTCTGTTATAACTCCTTTGATAATAGGAATGACCAGTGAAAAGGAAACAGAAATTGTTGGATGGATGCTTCAAGAAAAGTTCTTTCGAGGGAGCTGACTCAAATGGAGGGTATCCCTCTAATGATTGTTAATGCTCCCCAAACCATCTAGAAGTACCACACACTGTGAGGATGTGACATAGTACCAAGGATAGAACAAAGAGAAGAACTGGAGTCCCAGGTGGCTGTGAAGTAACCACACTAATGTTGGGATTCCCAACATTTTTAATCCTAAGGAAATATCAACCTTCACTTTTTGGATTTTTTAACAACCAAACCTAATCCTAATAATAAATACATTACTCCTTTAATTGGTGAGATTGCAAATCTGGGCACAATATTCTCCTTCTGAAGCAAAAGCTCAAAGTCAGGTCTGCTTGGAAATACACTGGCATAATTTGTTACTCTTGCTGCCAGATACTTAAGGTTCATTTTAAATTAGAAAATTGATCTTCCTGTTCTCAACAATCTTTAGTAGTAAAACTAGGCATTTCTCATCAGAAATGTCCATGTATACAAAGAACTCACAAAAGCAATCTGGATGTCATCTGTAACATTTTTTTTAAGATTTACTTATTTTATTTATGCATACAAAAACTGGGGTACAGACCAGATGTGCGGGAGGGTGAAAGGATTCACCAGAGACAGAGCAAGGAACAGAATAGGCAGACTGACTGAAATACACTGCTGAGGGGAGCAGCGGGTGAGACAGGAGAGGTCTGCTGCACCATGTGGGCATCTCCCGGGCCGGCCGGGATTGACCTGCACTGCACAGGCTGCACAGCTTCACAGTGCTGTGCTCAACTGCCTGTGCCACCAGGGAGGCTCTCATCTATAACTTCTAGCTATGAGTTACATCACTCCTATTTCAAAGATGTGAGGAGCTCCTCTGGCTCCATTATTGCTACTTTTATTAAATACTGAGACTTTGCAATACAAAGGCAGACTATGGGATGCTCAAGACAACTTCTGAACTACTGAATGGCTTGGAATCTTTTCTCAGAGATGGATTAGGTCCAGGTTTTAGATGGCTAGAAAAAGCACAAGTCAGAGCTTTAGATGTAGTATTTGATTCTTTGTTACCAACTTTGAAAATTCCTTCACCTCTCTGCTTTTTTCATTTGTGAGGAAAAGTGGGTTCGACTGGTTCCCTTTAAAATTGAAAACCCTCACTATAGTTAAAGTAGCTATCTTCTATGTTCCTTTTTATGAACCCATAGAACCAGTATGAATGAAACTTACCTCCACAATATACAGAATAGGTGTGGTACAAATTCAACTGTCAGTTGGTGAAAGTACTCAACTGGAAGTCTGTCTATGAGAAACATCTTTACAAAACAGATGCAGTGACTAAATTCAAACTTACTAAACCACATTTTTTAGTTATGGACATAATCGTAGTTTCAAAGGTGAATCTGAAGTGCAACCTCAGCTGGAAAACTCTATCCAACAGGTAAAAAAAAAGGGCATTGCTTTGCTTTATAACTAAAATATTTTGAGGACTCAGAAAACTGTTACAGACCAGTCTCCCAGAAGGTGTTTTCACATCAGAACTGAACTCCATACTTTTTGAAGGTAACCATTTAAAGGCTGGTTAAAAGACTTGTCTGTTTAGGGTTTCTTAGATATCAAAGAAAATTTGCTGATGAGTATGAAAGTCTCTTTGGGAAATGTAGCCGTTATTCATTAGAACTATCTGTACAGAAAGATGCCCACGCAAGTTTCATTCTGTGCCTCATTTCTCGCATGATTGCCCTGGTAGTGCTGGTAGTGAAAGACACAGACAGGACTAATAAGAAAGTCTGTCTTTGGTCAGAGATTATGGCAGAGTAATGACTTATCACCTAGACTGCATTTAAATGAGAGATCTTGTGTATTATATTTCATATCTTTTGCAGAATCATCTCAAACCCAGTAGTGATGTTTAATTCATTAACATTATGCTGAGAAATCCATTTAATAAGACTGGGTATGAGGGCAGGCTCTTAAATGCAACACAAGCTATACATGTAGTAAACAAGATACTACCTGCAAGTAATTATGAGATAAGGGGAATGAAGTAAGAAAGATGAGCAGTGTGAGAGTGTGTGTGTGTGTGTGTGTGTGTGTGTATGTGAATGTGATGAATTCTTTGATTCATGGTATTTCAGAAACCAAGGTAGATTTATAAACTCTCAACTGCTCTGAAAATAAAGCACTAATGAGGTCTCCCTCATAAACTGATCAACAGTGTAAAAACCTGGAAATTAAAAAAGTGTATCCTAAAATTTCCTTTTCTGAAGAATTTCCACTAAATTCCAACTTATTTCCTTTAGTCATGGGTTAATTCTCTTAGAAATCCAAACTACTGCATATATGTGACATATATTATATGTCTGTTGTATAT